CACAAGGACATCCAGGACCAAAACATCTACCAATCTCAACCTCAAAAGCCCGCCGGCACGTTACCATCTCGGAAAAAAGGACCGCGACTCCGCTGTAAGGCTCAGCCGCAAGAGACCATGTAGGATGGCCCACGCCTCCACTCCCTCTTGGCCAGATGGATATCAGCCAAGGTGGGCAGCCTGGTCTCTTGCAAAAAGAAAATATCAGCATCCATCTCACTGATCAAAAATAGGGCTGTCTGTTCAGGGATCCCCTCGATCCCCTGCCTGCGACGGTCCCCGGCGCAGGCGCACTGCTCCGCCCTGCGGGCAGCTAGGTCGGACCGGCCGGCGCAGTTCGCACCAATGGCAGCGCTGGGCAGGGCAGGATATTTAAATGTCCCTGAGCTGTCATTTCGTTGCCTTCTGGTCTTACCTGCTTCCTGTGATTCTGTACTGTGTGCCTTGTAAGTTTATTGACCCGGATGTTCTCTTGACCTGCTGATTTCTCCTGCCCAGACCCCCTTGCTTGCCTGACCTCTCTCCCTGGATGCCCCTCATTAGATCTGACCTCCTGTTGCTGACCTGGCGTGTGACCCGACGATTCTCTGCCTGCTCCCTTGTACCTTACCGTCCTCTACGTTACCAACTCGGCCTGTCTGACTTCGCACTTGCTCAGCCATCCATCCATCCATCCATTCCCATCGGGGGTCACCCGACCTCCTCACATCTCTGGCTCTCCCTGGTTGGAGCCCCTGGCGAAACACCCCTACCACTGACAGGTGTGCTCAGTTAGTGGCGACCTGGTCTCGGGGTACTACAAAGTCCATCCCCACCATCAGGGGGCCTGGTGAACAAGTACCCTGGGGCTTAGACTCCGCGCTCTGGGCACGCCTGACCAGTGGAGTGCTAGGGGTGTGCGCTCGGCGGGGTCCCTCACACTGTCTCTCTTGCACTTACAGATCTTAGGCTGGCAACGTTAATAGTTGCCACCTTTAGCGGAGCGGGCAAACTGCCATCAAGGAGTCTGAGGCTGAGAAAGGCAATTTTTTAACCTTCCTCTTGGACTTCTAGGCAGGATCCCATCACTCCTCTCCACAGCACCACTACCTCCCCTTCCTCCATCGGAGAAGCGGGGGTCACTCGAGGACCTCCCCCTTCTCCCCCGACAGAGCCCAAACTTATTACCCAGGGCCAGGTCCTCCAACCTCAAGAGAGGAGGCCCCACCACCCTGCAGTGGAGAGGGCAGGCCTATTCAAGCCTCCTCACCAATTACCACTCCGCTGTCCTCTGGGCCTCATCCTGCCCACTCTGAACAGGACCCTGGTCCTCCTGGGGAGCCCCCCCTGACCTACCCCTCCGTCTAAGAGGAAGAAGAACGGGGGAGCCAGTACGACAGGCCCAGATTTTGCCTCCACCACTCCAGCCCCTTTGGCAGCCTCTGCCAACTTCCTCCCTCCCTTAGGGGCAAGAAACCAGGTACACTGAAGGAAACTGCACGGAGCCAATACCGTATCTGGACTCAACCGGGGCAAACTACAACTGAGGACACCTCAGACCCATCCTCCCTGCCTCCAGAAGCTGCTGCAGAGGCCAAGCTGGTCCTCTCCGTCACCAATTCAGCTTCCTCAGCATCCATACGGTCCTAATTCTGCAGCTTGCTCATCCACCGGAAAATTTCGGAGGGCCTCCGGGCATCTGATTATATGTTGAGTGCCCATGGTGCCACACAGATTACATTTTATTACATTGCAGTCCTTAGCCAGGGGTGACCAATCTCTTGGCATAGTGAACACCTGATGACTGGACAAGTGGCTGCAAAGTGCCCTTAGCCCTCGCACCTATGGCACACCCGGGGCTGACCAGCATAGAACGACGATCAAACCGGTCCCGCCCCAGGAAGGCAGAGGAGGGGATGTGTTGTAAGACATTACCCTCCCACCCTCAGGACGAACATTGGCCGTCCACCCACCATATTTTCCTGTCCATCCAAGATTTTCTATGCAGAGGACCCACAAGAATCCCAAACCTTCCCAACCAGACAACAATATCGGAACTGGAATTGACTCGTTTCCTAACCAGAATCGTTACTTTTTTGATGACATTCTGGCGAGAAACAAGCTGGTAGTTAGCCCCCCTCCCACCTAGGACTACGGGCCATAGGTGAACTCATATTTATCTGCCAAAAAAGATGTAATAGGTCAGCCCTCGTAAAGGATAGTTCATATTCGCCCGTCCCCTCCGGGGCTAATAAAAGGCGAATATGTCCACGGCTCGGAAACCCATCTCCAAGATGCGGTCAATGATCTCTCTACGCCCCAGGGGAGGGCCCGTCCCTGTCCACTTAAAGTGCACTACATTCTACACGCAGCTGACGTAGGCAGGTTCCCTGCCCGTGACTGGGGTACCCCCAAGGCCTCCTGACCCCCCCTTAACACTGCTGAGTAACTTCAAAGCAGGTCTTGACACAGGAACCTCAGCCACAGCAGGACCAGACCACCTGGGGACCTGAAACCGGGGGCAACAGAAACCTGGGGGATTTGGCCTGGGCAGGCCCTGCTCAACAGCAGCCTGGGCCCTAGGACCCTCATCACTGACAGGGGGACACACTACACAGACCCTTGCACAGCCTTGTCCACCACCAGGGGGACCCGGGAGCAACATGCAAAAACACCTGGGACCCCCCCAAGGGACTGGGCTCAGATAAGACCTGAAAACCGGGGCCAGACAGGGACAGATACACCATCCCCAGGAACCTCAGCAGGGACCCGTTCTACAGTACTGCGGTACGTCCCTCCGCCAGCGGTTCCCCCGCTTTCGCACAGCAATTCACCTTCCACATGAGATAGGCATGATCCGTTGCAGTTTCACAAAACACGGCCCGCCGCTCCCGCAGAACAGGTCTTGATGGCTTACTCATGACGTCACTTCCGGCTTCCTCCTCCTCTGACTCGGCCGACGTGAAACGGAAGTTGTCCGCCCGTCCGATATTTCCAGCCCTGTCTCCATTGCAAAGCTCTATCCTACAGCCTCTGCCTCCTCCATCTGTGAGCTCCAATTGGCTGGCTGTTGCTGCCCGGGGGGGTGGGAACCAGAATCTCCCGTGTCCTCACACGACTGGCCTCGGCCGTTTTCCTTATTATTAGGAACTTCACTTGCTGGGTTGATGCAGTGTGCTCAGGCACTGCTTCTGCTCACCATCGGTCAATGGCGTCTCCGACAGCTCCTCCATGGAGGAGACATCTCAACTGGGCCCCTCACAGCAGCACTCTTCTGCTCCTTGCAGCCTTGAAGCGGGTTCTCGTTCTGATACTTCTCCCTTTGTACTCCACTCTTCTTTTTCAAGGCTGCCCACATACTTGCTTTGGAGGGCACCCGCTTTTCCAATATGCCTCCAGGCCCGGCTTCATCAACTGGCGTTTTTGTGCTCCACAAGACTCTGTCATATGACTGACGGGAACTTTTTTAAGCTCCAGACTCAATTCTCCAACTTTGTTTCCTCCTTCTCTATCATGCTGATACGGGTTATCAACACCCAGGTCGCGAGTACGCACTGCCATTCTTCCCCTTCCTTGGGGCTGTTCCTAGGTCCTCTATGGCTGGGAAAATCGGGACCAGTTACTAGGCTCCTCCAGGGGCATTATCAACGCTGGACCCAAGCCCAGGATCGCCATCCTCCCTGGGCTGGGCAGGGCACTTTAGCCCCAGGCCTTCTCAGGCCTACCTGGAGCTCAGCAGAGCACCAGTCCAACACTGCCTCTCCACACGCTGTCAGGAATGACTCACCACAGGGCTCACCTTTGCCTTGTGGGCTGCAGTACCAGGGGCTGGCCCAGCGGGTGCTCCCAGCAATCAGAGACTCAACCCTGCAGCCAGCCAAACACCTGAAGCTGATTATGAGGTGTATTTAAGGGATGGCCAGACCTGCAGTCTGGGCCTTGGTGTGTGTTTTCCTGGGCCCTGTATCTTGTTACCTGCATCCCTGTTCCTTGTTCCTGTTCCTGTTCCTGTCCCTGTTCCTGTCCGACTGATATCGTTGCCGACCCCACTGCCTGATAAATCCGGACTCTGCTGTGACTTCTCCTGTTTTGATCCCTGGCTTGTGACCCCGACCATTCTCTGCCTGACCCCATGTACCTACCTGCCCGTTAGTTCGCTGTACCGGCTCGTGACCTGGCCTACTCTCTGGGCTGCTCCTCCTGTTCCTACCTGCCCAATTGTTATTGACCGGATCAACTGCTAGAATGTATACGGATCACTCATGTTCTAGTAGGATCAGGGCCCACAGAGTTCTCTGAAGTGCAACCTTTGATTCAGGTTTGTGTAGAGTTGGCTTCATCTGGTACCCCTGAAAGCAGGAATGACTTTTTGCCCACCATTTAGTGCAGACCAGGTAGAGTCACTGGTATGGTTATTAGAGGATGATGTGGATTGCTTCTTGGAGCGTTATTCTGCATGTTCACACACAGGTATTAAGGGATTGTATAAACGCAGTTCAGTCTTTGGTCAGACAGGCTTTGTGTAAGCTGAGCTTTGTTCAACCCATACTGCAGACATGGTCAGACTTGTTGCACCCAGCCTCAGTCAGCTTGCAAAAAACCCAGTCCTGCTTCTAATCTATTTCTTCAAAGCTCTATTCCTGCAATCCCAACAGCACCTCCAGTTACAGCCCAGTATACCCTGCTATCTACCGCATGTCAGTACCCTGTTCACATTTGCTGCACCCTATCCTGCTTTTAACCCTGTAAAGAAGCCCTCTGTAGCAACTGTTCCCTCCCCTGTTCCATCCTCCAGCTCTTCTCTGTCTCCAGCTGCTCCATCTCGTTTACCAAACCTGCGCTTACTTACAGTGCTCCGGTAACTAAAAAACCAGGAAAAGGCGAAAGTTCTTTCCAACCAATACCATCCTGCCAGTATCCAAACCGGTCAGCCTCCCATCTGAGAAACCTGCCTTTCCGTGGTGCAGCCTGGTGCCTCGGCGCCACAATTCAGCCTGATGCCTCTACCCAGCCTGATGCCTTTACCCAGCCTGATGCCTCATTCAGCCCGATGCCTCCATTCAGCCCTCCATTCAGCCCGATCCTCCATTCAGCCCGATGTCTCTACCCAGCATGATGTTTCTACCCAGCCTGATGAACTGATCCAGCCTGATGATTCCATTAGGCCAGTTGACTCGATGGCCCGCTGTCGATCCAGACGATCCAATGCCTGATGACCCAGTTCCCCGCTGTCATGCCCTGGTGACCCGATGCCCGCTGTCGGGCCAGACGATCCAATGTCTGACCCAGTGCCCGCGGTCATGCCAGTTGACTCGGAGCCTACTGTTGTGCCTGGTAACTCGGTGCCCACTGCCTTGCCAGATGACGCGGTGCCCGCTGGCGAGCCAAATGACCTGAAGCCTGGTGACCCAGTGCCCGCTGTCGAGACCAGACCCGCTGTCCCAGACAGTCCCATGCCTGAGGACCCAGTGCCCGCTGTCATGCCTGGTGACCCGATGCCCGCTGTCGGGCCAGACGATCCAATGTCTGACCCAGTGCCCACGGTCATGCCAGTTGACTCAGAGCCCACTGTCGTGCCTGGTGACTCGGTGCCCACTGCCTTGCCAGATGACGCGGTGCCCGCTGGCCAGCCAAATGACCTGATGCCTGGTGACCCAGTGCCCGCTGTCATGCCTGGTGACCCGATGCCCGCTGTCGAGCCAGACGATCCCAACGCCAGATGACCCGGCGCCCCCGCTGTCATCCAGATGATCTGGTACCTGATGACCCAGTGCCCGCGGTCATGCCAGTTGACTCAGAGCCCACTGTCGTGCCTGGTGACTCGGTGCCCACTGCCTTGCCAGATGACGCGGTGCCCGCTGTCATGCCAAATGACCTGATGCCTGGTGACCCGATGCCCGCTGTCGAGCCAGACGATCCAATGTCTGACCCAGTGCCCGTGGTCATGCCAGTTGATTCGGAACCCACTGTCGTGCCTGGTGACTCGGTGCCCACTGCCTTGCCAGATGACGCGGTGCCCGCTGGCGAGCCAAATGACCTGATGCCTGGTGACCCGATGCCTGTTGTCGTGCCTGATGACCCGGTGCCCGCCGGGAGGCCCGATGCCTGCCGTCCCTCCTGGGGGTCCGGCGCCTGCCACTCCGCCTGGGGGCCCGGCGCCCGCCACTCCGCCTGGGGGGCCCGGCGCCCGTCGCTCCTCCTGGGGGCCCGGCGCCCCCGCTCCGCCTGGGCGCTCGGCGCCCGCCGCTCCGCCTGGGGCCCCGCCCACCGCCCCCGCCTGGGGGCCCGATGCCTGCCGCTCCGCCTGGGGGCCCGATGCCTGTCGCTCCGCCTGGTGGCCCGGTGCCTGCTGCTCCGCCTGGTGGCCCGGTGCCTGCTGCTCCGCCTGGTGGCCCGGTGCCTGCTGCTCCGCCTGGTGATCCGGTGTCCAGCCCGATGTGCCTCTGCCCGGAGTCCAGCTCGATGTGCCTCTGTCCGGAGTCCAGCTCGATGTGCCTCTGCCCGGAGTCCAGCTCGATGTGCCTCTGCCCGGAGTCCAGCTCGATGTGCCTCTGCCCGGAGCCCTCGATGTGCCTCTGCCCGGAGTCCTGCCCTCTGCCCCCGGAGTCCTGCCCGATGTGCCTCTGCCCGGAGTCCTGCCCGATGTGCCTCTGCCCGGAGTCCTGCCCGATGTGCCTCTGCCCGGAGTCCTGCCCGATGTGCCGCTGCCCGGAGTCCCCGCTGCCCGCTGTGCCGCTGCCCGGAGTCCAGCCCGATGTGCCACTGCCCGGAGTCCAGCCCGATGTGCCGCTGCCCGGAGTCCAGCCCGATGTGCCGCTGCCCGGAATCCAGCCCGATGTGCCGCTGCCCGGAAGTCCTGCCCGATGTGCCAGTCTTTGATATCCCGCCTGTTACCAGACCCGGGCGATGGAACATTTTGCCCAGCTAGGACTGTTTGGAGCGTCCTGAGCGCTCCTTGAGGGGGGGGGGGGTACTGTCAGGAAGGGACTTTTACAGTAATGGTGGGACTCACCTGCCTTGTGGGCTGCAGTACCAGGGCTGGCCAGCGGGTGCTCCCAACAATCAGAGACTCAACCCTGCAGCCAGCCAAACACCTGAAGCTGATTATGCAGGTGTATTTAAGGGATGGCCAGACCTGCAGTCTGGGCCTTGGTGTGTGTTTTCCTGGGCCCCTGTATCTTGTTACCTGCATCCCTGTTCCTGTTCCTGTTCCTGTCCACTGATTCGTTGCTGACCCTGCCTGATCCGGACCTCTGCTGACTTCTCCTGTTTGATCCCTGGCTTGTGACCCCGACCATTCTCTGCCTGACCCCCTGTACCTACCTGCCCGTTAGTTGCTGTACCCGGCTCGTGACCTGACTACTCTCTGCCTGCTCCTCCTGTTCCTACCTGCCCGATTGTTATTGACCCGGCCGCCTGGCGACGCTTGCATTGTATGTATTGTTATCTGTGGGTGGTTTGGTTCGTTTTCACTGTGTTTATGTTTTAGTATTGCACTGCGTTTATGTATTGTTAGTGTTAATAAATTATATTGTTTATAACATATCTGAAGCCTGCGTTTCCCTGCGTCAGTTCACATACCTCTGGTCATACCCTGGAGCTCTGACAACGGCAGTGAAGACAATTACTGGAACCGATTCCCTGTATGGCTCTCCCTGCAGCAGCTGAAAGCTGGCTTCTCCTCCTCTTCCTCCCGCCAGCTTTCAGCAGCTGTAGAGGGAGCCATACAGAGGATCGGTTCCAGTAATTTTCCCAATTGCCACAACAATCACCCTCCCTGTGCAACAGGGCTAAGCTGGGTGAATTGGATGTGGTCAGGAAGGGTGATCGTTATGGCAGTGGGGGGAAATTATTGGCAGTGATCCCCTGTATGGCTTTCTCTGCAGCAGCTGAAACCTGGCTTCTCTCTCCTCCCTCCTGCCAGCTTTCAGCTGCTGCAGAGAAAGCCATAAAGGGGATCGGTTCAAGTAATTTCCCCCTGTAACGGAAGCGTAGGCAGGACAGAGCACACGGAGAAGATGGGGAACACACAAAACTTTATTGAAGCAACAAAATGACAGACACTCAATGGGGAAATGGCAGGGAGGGTGATGTGTGCGCAAACCAGGGATGATTCCAGGCATGGGGGGTCTTCGGCGACAGGAAGGTAATCTCCCCCCTAGGCTTGGGGCCTCAGCCGAGCTCCCTCCATGACTGGACAGCGGATAGGAGACTCGAGCAACAGGCGCAACCTACCCCTTGGCCGGGGTCTCAGGCAACCGGCGGCAACCTACCACTGGGCAGGGACCTTGGGCAACAGGCGCAATCTACCCCTGGGCAGGGGCCTCAGGCAACAGGCGGCAATCTACCCTGGGCAGGGGTCTCGAGCAACAGGCGGCAACCTACCACTGGGCAGGGGCCTCAGGCAACAGGCGGCAATCCACCCCCTAGACTTGGGGCCTCAGTCGAGCTCCCTCCGTGACTGGACAGTGGATTGGAGACTCGGGCAACAGGCGGGCAACCTACACCTGAGCAGTGGTCTCAGGCAACAGGTGGCAATCTACCTCCTAGGCTTGGGGCCTCAGTCGAGCTCCCTCCGTGACTGGACAGCGGATTGGAGACTCGGGCAACAGGCAGGCAACCTACCCCTGAGCAGGGGTCTCAGCTGTGGGGTCTGACCTTTGAGGAGAAGGCTCATGCAGAGCTGTGGAGACTCCCAACCCTGGGGTATTGTAGAATGCTACAGTTCTGACCTTTTGGGGGTCTGCAGAGTGTGCAGGGGGGATGGCTGGGGAGGCTCGGTCCCCCTCACCCGAGCCTCCCAGCATCCTTCTGGGAGCAAGATGATTCCAGCAGCATGGATAGGAACAGAGAGAGGAGGGCTGCTTCCTGTAAGGGTCTTTTGAAAATCATGTGGGACGCGGCTAGGTTGCCTCGGCAACGGCCGGCCCAGCCCTGTCCATGGAAGCTTCACAGACATCGGAATGTGCAAGGGGGTAGGGAGGGGTGGAGGGATATGGCGGGGGATGGGAGAGGCACTGGCAGTCTGTGACACCTCCCCTGCCACAATGATCGCCCTCCCTGTGCAGCAGGACCCAGGCAGTTGGGTGAATTGGATGTGGGTAGAAAGGGTGATCGTTGCAGCAGTGGGGGGAAATTACTGGAACTGATCCCCCGTATGGCTCTCTCTGCAGCAGCTGAAACCTGGCTTCTTCTCCTATCCCTCCTGCTAGCTTTCAGCTGCTGCAGAGAGAGCCATACAGGGGATCAGTTCAAGTAATTTCCCTCACTGCCACAACAATTACCCTCCCTTGGCTCCATACATTTCCCCCTGCTGCCCAGGCCAACCTGTGTGCCCCCCTACACACACAGTGCTCCCGGATTCCCTCCTCTCCTTCCCACTGGCAGCTATAAGCACACAATAGGATCCTTCAGGATGGAGAGTGGGGGAAGGGTCCGGTAAATGTGTCAAATTTACCAGCACCTTCCTTTCCTTAACCACTAGGCTACATGGCACTTGTACCCCCTTCCTGCCCAGGCCAATTTTCAGCTTTCAGCGCTGTTGCACTTTGAATGATAATTGCAGGGTCATGCAACACTGTACCCATATGAAATTTTTATAATTTTTTGAGACAGATAGAGCTTTATTTTGGTGGTATTTAATCACCTCTGGGATTTTTATTTTTTGCTAAACAAACCAAAAACAACTAAAATTTGGGAACAAAAAATTTTTTTCTTAGTTTTTGTTTTTTAAAATTTTGTAAGTAAGTGATTTTTCTTCTTCACTGATGTGTGTAATAAGGCTGCAGTGATGGGCACTGATGAGGAGGCACTGGTAGGTGGCACTGATGGGCATTGACAGGCATCACTGATGGGTACTGAAAGTCAGCACTCATATATGGCACTCATAGGTGGCACTGATAGCTGGCACTGACTGGCACTGATAGGTGGCACTGACTGGCATTGATAGGTGGCACTGACTGGCACTGTTAGGCGGCACTGATAAGCAGCACTGACATGCACTGATAGGCGGCACTGATGCACACTGATAGGTGGCACTGACGCGCACTGATAGGTGGCACTGATAGGTGGCACTGACTGGCATTGATAGGTGGCACTGACTGGCACTGATAGGTGACACTGAAAGGCAGCTCAGATATGTGCCATTGATGTGCACTGGTAGGCACTGACAGCTGGCATTGATGTAAAGTGACGGGTGGCACTGCTGGGGCTACACTGATCATCAGTGCTCTGATGATCAGTGTAGATGTCCCCTCTGAGGAATGCCGATAACCGGCTCTCCTCTCCTATGTCAGCGTGACAGCTCGTGAGGAGAGAAATGCAGATAACCGGCATTTCCCTATTTACCTGCGATCAGCTGTGTTTAGACACAGCTGATTTCATGACTGAGCCGACAGCTTCGGCTCTTTCCATTGGACCACTGATCACCACGCTGCGTGCTGCCGGAGCCGCGCCGTCGCGGTTAGAGTGGGAGGACGCCATGTAACGTCCTCCCAGAATGAGAGAACCGCCTTGCGCCCATCATTACCTTATAT